ACATTTGTTCAATTGTATATACGTGAATACATATTGTATTCTTGTATAGTATATACCTATTGTATATTAAAGGAGGGTACACGCGCGATTAACAGTACGAATAAATCAGCAAGTAAGTTATTAAATAAAAACCGCACGAGCTTATTGGACAACCGAATATGTATTTAACGATGAAATAAAAGTACACGTGAGATCGATATTATATTTATATTTATAAAATTATTCATCATTAGAAAGCACATATGATCTATCTATATGACGTAATTCACTACGCACACACGCGTACAAGCGTGCCTACGAGCGCACGCACGCACAAAGAGAAAAACACGCAGAGCCGCACGCACACCGTCGAATCATTCATATACTTTCATCCGCTCATGCAGGCGTAAGCACACACATACACACACGCGCGGGCATACATACACATGTACGTACGCGCACACACGCGCGCGATCTTCAGACGAGAGGAAAGAAACAGTGAGATGAAAAGAGGAGAAAAGAGATAGGTGAATGGAGAAAGAGAAACAAAGATTAAAAGAGAAAAGATATTAAAAGGGCTAGAGGGTCAGAGAAGGTAGGGAAGCGTGAGCGCGCGCTCATGTGCGCGTGTGCACGTACACGTATATCCGTGTGTGAACGGCGACGCGCGACACAACAAACGAGTATACGTGTCCTATGTATGCACGTGTACATATTCAGAGTACCTCACGAATGTGTTTTACAGGTTTTATCGTTATTTTTTTTTCTTTACGCAACTTTGTAACTGCTCGAATTGGAAGAAAGTGCGACAGAGATTTCATTAACCAGGCCAGTTTCATCACAGTGTAATTAAAAAATCGCATCGTGTCACTCGCGAGAAAAATATCGTGTGATTATATACGGTTACTTTTCTTCCCCTTTTCCATATTAATTTACAATTTTCTGCTCTCCCATTATTCGCCGATTGTACACTTCCAGCATTCTCCAGTACTTTCCCGCGACTCGCATCGAACATGAAATTCCGCTCTAAAAGAAATATTTCTATCCTTAAGAAACATTAACTTCACTCGTTAAACAATACTAATTACTACGACGCTCGTAAGATTGTCCAAACTTAGCAAAGAAAACAAAAAAGTAAAAAATAAAAAGAAAAAATAACAAGTTCGTCGTTTACTTATCTAACGAAAAGGATCACCGACCGAAACGATCTCGCTTGCGATTTGGTCGCCATCGATCTATCGGAACATTCTGATGCCTCGACGATAATCACTTAGAAAGAGAAAGGAAACAAAAATAGAACAATAATAACGAGGGCGGAGATGGATAGTGGGCTACAGAAAAATAAAAAAAAAACACCGGGGAGGATAGGGACAATAATAAAATATCGTTGTTAACGACAATTTTCAGTAGAGAAAAAGAAGGCAGCCACGCAATGGATAATGTCGTAAAAGAACTAACGATAGGGGGACGTTTTCCATGTAAAAAGGGCAAAGCTTGACACGTTTTGTCGCGGACTTCAGCCGCAACGGAACTGATGAATTCACGTTCCGTTCGGTTACATTTTTCCCTCCTCTCTTTTATCTACCTCGTGGCAATTTCTTCCAACTTCCTCCGTCGTCTTTTTACTTTTATTCACGTATTTTTTTCTTTACTCTCTCATTTAATAAGTGGTAAACATCCTGGAAAAATAAGACACTTGCGTGAGATTTCTTTCATATGCATGTATATATACATATATACACACCATTTCTTTTGTATCGCGCGGCGTGTGTATATACATATAACCTGATTAGACATATTTCTTTCTTCCTCTATTATCATTTTTGCTTTCGCGACTTACTTTTTCTTTCGTAATTCTGTTTTGTTCACGATTCGATCAACATAACAACAGATGTCATTTAGAAGTAATTTCATATTATTTTCTCTTTTTTTTATCTTTTCTTTCTTTAATGTGCATCTCTAAGACCCAAAAGGAGAATTACCGAGCTAT